TCGGAGGAATTCACAGTAATAAGATCCTAGTGTTCAATCTAGTCCAACCTTCTTCTGCCTTAAGGGAAAAACACAATCAAAGCACTCCTAACAGATGATTATGGAGACTCCACTTCTTCTTCTTCTTCTTCTTCTTCTTCTTCTTCTTCTTCTTATTATTATTATTATTATTATTATTATTATTATTATTATTATTATAATCCTAGGGTAGGAAGACACCTCCAAGGGCCATCCAGTCCAACCTCCTTCTGGCATAATGGAAAAGCACAATCAAAACACTCCTGATAGATGGCCATTTAGACTCTCCTTAATAATAATAATAATAATATCCTGGAGTAGGAAGAAACCTCCAAGAACCATCCAGTCCAACCTCCGACCTCCTTCTGACATAAGGAAAAGGCACAATCAAAGCACTCATGACAGATGGCCATTCAGAATATAAATAATAATCGTAATAATAATAATAATAATAATAATAATAATAATAATAGAATCCTGGGTTAGTCTGGTGGTATGGAAAATAAAGTAATGAGAAGCATCCAGGGTTCGAAGCTGCAAGGCTTTTCAGTGATATTCATGCTGACCAAAACACTAAAAAAAAGCCTCTTTGAAACAAAGGCTGGGTGGCCATCTGTCGGGGGTGCTTTGAATGTGTTTTTCCTGCTTCTTGACAGAATGGGGTTGGCCAGGATGGCCCACCAGGTGTCTTCCAACTCTAGGATTCTCTGGTTCTATATTCTTCCCTTCACTAGTTCCTGCTTGCTTGCTTGCCTGCCCGCCCTCCTTCCTTCCTTCCCTCTTCCATTCCTTTCCTCTCCCATTGCTGTCTCCTTCCCTTACTTCCTCTTTCTTTCCTTCTACCTTTCTTTCCATTCATATTATTCTCTTCTCTTCACCAATCCTTTTCTTCTTTTGTTTTCTCTCCTTTTCCTCCCTCCCTCCCTCCCTCCTTCCTTCCAGGACAGTTTGTAAGGGGTTTTAAGGAAAGGGGAAGGGTTGGGGTGGTGAAAGGGGCTGGTCTTCTAGTCGCATTCTCCCTTCGCTCAATAGGTCCGGGATGGGGTAGGGGGCGGTGGACTTACCTACTTACTTACTTAGGCGATCCCTCGTAGTCCAAGGATGATGGTCCTCCAAGATTGGTGTTCTGGGGGTGGGTTCGTAGGTGGCTGTGGCGCCCTATTCTTGATCTGCATCTTCTCCTACAGTGAAGGCATTAGTTTCCAGGTGGGAGGCAGTCTTGGTCGGAGTTGGCTTGACGCGCCTTCCTCTTGGCACGTTTCTCTCTTTCACCCTCCATTCAAGTCTCTTCAAATTCTGCAGCACTGCTGATCACAGCTGACCTCCAACTGGACCGCTCAAGGGCCAGGGCTTCCCAGTCCTCAGTGTCTATGCCAGAGTTTTTAAGGTTGGCTTTGAGGCCATCTTTAAATCTCTTTTCCTGCCCACCAACATTCCGTTTCCCGTTCTTGAGTCCGGAGTAGAGCAACTGCTTTGGGAGACGGTGGTCAGGCATCCAGACAACGTGGCCAGTCCAGTGGAGTTGATGGCGGAGGACCATTGCTTCGATGCTGGCGGTGGGCAGCTTCTCATACAGCCAGGCTTGCCTTGCAATTCTCTGGTCTTGGGGGAAGGGTTGCCTTGTGGGCACTTGGGCCTCATGGAGTGGCTGCGGTGACTCCAGCTGCTGCCGGGGTTTGCCTCGCCAAACCTCCATGGCCGCTGTAGGGCCAGGCCTTCTCCTTCCTTCCCTCTTTCCTTTCCTCAATCCCTCCCCTCCCCAATAGAAAGAGGACTCTGCCTTCCTCCATGGAAAGGGACTACATAGCTAGGCTTCTCTACCCTGACAACGGATGGTGTGTTATTCTTCTCGCATGCTGGGGGGGGGGGGGGTTGCGCATGCTCTGTAAAGTATTTTTCTTTTGGGGGAGTTTTAAGTTATTTCCCCTTCGTTTTTAAGGCTTTTTATTGAAAGACATAGATTGGAATAGTATGTGTTTTGCTACCAAATTTGGTGACATTTGGCCCAGTAATTTTATTGCTTTTAAGGTCCTACAAATGAACAGATCATTCATTCATATATATATATATATATATATACGCACACACTAGCTTTCCCTGCCACGCGTTGCTGTGGCCAACCTTCCCTCCCTCTTTCTCTCCTTTTTTCCTATCTTTCCTTTCCTCCCTCTTTCATTCCTTCCCTCTTTTTCTTTCTTCCTTCTTCTTCCTTCCTTCTCTACATGTTTCTTTTCTCACCTCTTTTGCTCTTTGGTTCCACCCTTCCTTGTCTCTTTCCTTCCTTCCCTCCCTCTTTCTCTCTTTCGTTCCTTCTCTCCTTCCTCCCCTCTTTCACTTTTTTATTTCATTCTCTCCCTCTTCCCTCCTTCTTTCCCTCCTTCTCTCCTTCCTTCCTTCTCTACCCCTTTCTTTCCTTCCTTCTCTCCTTCCCTCTTTCTCTCCCTCTTTCTCTCCCTCCTTCTCTTCCTCCTTCTCTCCTTCCTTCATTCTGTTCCCTGCTTTTTTTTCTTTCCTTCTCTCCTTCTTTCCCTCCTTCTCTCACTTTCTATCCTTTCTTCTCTTTCCTTCCTTCTTTTACCTTTCTTTCTTTCCTTCTTTCTCTCCTTCCCTCCTTCTTTCTCTTCTTTCCCTCCTTCTCTCCTTCCTTCCGTGGGGGGCGTGGCGGGGGGAAGAAGAAGGAGGGGGAGGAGGGATGGATTTGGGCAGGGCGGGAATGGTGTTTAGGGGTAGGGCGGGGGAGGGAGGGGGCGTGGCGTGAACGTGGGGGGTGTATGGGCATTTAGGGGTGGGGCGGGGGAGGGAGGGGGCATGGCGTGAACATGGGGCGGGGGGGGGGGGAGAAGGAGGAGGTAAGGTTGGGGTATGGGCGTTTAGGGGTGGGGCGGGGGAGGGAGGGGTGGCATGAACGTGGGGGGCGGGGGGGGGGAGGGAGGGGGCGTGGTGTGGTGTGAAGGTGGCGTGGGGGGCGGGGGGAGGGAGGGGGCGTGGCATGAACGTGGGGGGCGTGGGCAGGGGCGGGGCGTGAACATGGGGGCGTGGGCGGGGGGTGGGGGGGAGGGCATGAGGGATACTCCAGAGCAGGTTGGTACAGAGGGCTGCAGGGACCCAGGTTAAACGGAGGCCAGATAGCTATCTTTGGGGTGGGGGAGGGAGAGGGAGGGAGGGAGGGGGCATGGCATGAACGTGGGGGGTGTGGGGGGAGGTGTGAACATGGGGGGCGGGGCGGGGGGAGGGGGTGTGGCGTGAACGTAGGGGGCGGGGGCAGGGAGGGAGGGGGCATGGTGTGAACGTGAGGGGTGTGTGGGTGTGGCATGATCATGGGGAGCGTGGCCGGGGGAAGAAGAAGGAGGGGGAGGAGGTAAGGTTGGGGTATGGGCATTTAGGGGTGGGGCGGGGGAGGGTGGGGGCGGGGCGCATGCATGAGGGGGTATCGGAGGTGTGAACATGGGGGGCGGGGCGGGGGGAGGGGGTGTGGCGTGAACGTAGGGGGCGGGGGCAGGGAGGGAGGGGGCATGGTGTGAACGTGAGGGGTGTGTGGGTGTGGCATGATCATGGGGAGCGTGGCCGGGGGAAGAAGAAGGAGGGGGAGAAGGTAAGGTTGGGGTATGGGCGCTTAGGGGCGGGACAGGGGAGGGAGAGGGCGTGGCGTGAACGTGGGGGGCGGGGCCGGGGGAAGAAGAAGGAGGGTGCGTTTGAAAGAGGGCGTATGGGAGGGTAGGGGCGGGGCGGCGGAGGATGGGAGCGTGGCTTGTGCGGAGGGTCGGCCATGTGCGTGCGCCGGGGACTTGCGGCGGGGCGCCTTTGCGCATGCTCATTTGGTTTTTGTTGTTGTGAGTGTGTCGATATGTTGTTTAGAATTTTGATTCGGTTTGTGCATACCTTGTGGGTTGAAGTATGTGCATGGCAATTTTCATGTGTTTTGGGCTGGGGGCTTTTGAGTTTTGCTGTCCCGTTGGATGCCCATAACAGATTTATATATATAGATATAAATGATAAAGCATAAAGAAATTAAACATATACACACAAAAAGGGGTCCCAAGGATAGTGGTGGAGTTGATCCTACAGAGACCCACCACCCACGAGACATAGGGATCCATATGCGAGGGGACACATGGGGCTAACAAAAGGACCTGATCCTCCTTGGGCACCCACAGAGCAAGAAAGGTGAAATAAAGGCAAAAAGCAAGGTCATCATGCACATGAGGGTCCCATGGGGGCAAGGTAATCTAAACATTGGACAGGCAAACCCACTTGGGAAGGGGACCCGTGAGTGTCGAGCGAGATTCTCTGGACCCCCATATCCACAGGGGGTTGGGTTGACATGGGTAATGGGTTAGGCACAAGGATAAGGGTTAGGCACAAGGGAAGGCATTATGGGGTAGGTTTGTTGAGAGATGAAAGAGGTACAGATCTGCGGATATGAGAATGAAAGTAAATGGTAAGGGTAAAAGGTGGGTTGGTTGCCTGCTGGTGCTCCTGGAGTGTCTGGGAGGCGGCGATGGGGTTTGGGGTATTTGTGGGGTACCGTCTGGCGGACAAGGTTATGAACTGTCTCTGTCCTGGGGCCCTAGAGGGACCTGGAGGGCAGTGGTCCATGTGGCCCGGGCCGTTGCTGGCAGTGTGGAGGAATGTGGAAATGAGGGGAAAGAAAAGATTACATGCAGCAAAGAAGATGGAGAAGCAAAAGTTAAGGATAGCTTCATTTTATTAAGGGGTTTTAGACCATTGCTGCGTTAAGAGGTGTTCTCTGGACTGGTGGCTTCTGACTCATTATTGATCTTTTGCTTCTACCTTGACTAGGGAAATGAGAATCCTATGAAGCTACCTCTTGGGTGCAGTAAGGAAACCAATAATACAGGAAGAAGAAGCAATCTTTTCAAGGTGATTATTTTGTTCAATTCTTGACGTCACTTACAAAGAAGAAAGGAACAAAGAAGAGTCAACACTCTGTATTGCAATTCGGCACCCATGCTACTGTTGATATGAAGGGGAAAGCATTGAAATGCCTTGAATGTGGAAAGAGTTTCACTCGGAGGGATCATCTCCAGAATCATGAAAGGACTCACACTGGGGAGAAACCCTATAAATGCCTGGAGTGTGGAAAGAGTTTCGCTCAGAAGTATCTACTGCAGCAACATGAAGGTACTCACACTGGGGAGAAGCCCTATGAATGCCTAGAATGTGGAAAGAGCTTCACTTTTTCTTCAAGTCTACATTCTCATAAAAAAACTCACACTGGGGAGAAGCCCTATGAATGCTTGAAGTGTGGAAAGAGTTTCTCTCGGAGGGAACATCTCCAAATTCATGAAAGGACTCACACTGGGGAGAAACCCTATAAATGCATGGAGTGTGGAAAGGGTTTTACTCGGAGAGAATCTCTGAAGAAACATGAAATGATTCACACCGGGGAGAAACCCTATAAATGCCTAGAGTGTGGAAAGAGCTTCAATCAGAATGAAAATCTATGTGCACATCAAAGGATTCACAATATGGAGAAACCATATAAATGCCCAGAATGCGGCAAGAGCTTCACTCAGAATTCAGGACTACGTACGCATCAAAGGACTCACACTGGAGAGAAACCCAGCACATGCCTGGAGTGTGGGAAGAGTTTCACTCAGAGTGCAAATCTATATTTACATCAAAGAACTCACAATATGGAGAAACCTTATACGTGCCTGGAATGTGGACAGAGCTTCAATCAGCGTTCATGTCTACTTTCACATCAAATGAATCACACTGGGGAGAAACCGTATAAATGCCTGGAGTGTGGAAAAAGCTTCAATCGGAATTCAAATCTACGTTCACATGAAAGGACACATACTGGAGAGAAACCCTACAAGTGCCTTGTGTGTGGACAGAGCTTCACTGTTAATTCAAGTCTACATAAACATCGAAGGCTTCATACTGGGGAGAAACCCTATAAGTGCCTTGAGTGTGGACAGAGCTTCACACAGAATTCAAGTCTACGTTCGCATCAAAGGATTCACACTGGGGAGAAACCTTATAAATGCTTTGAGTGTGGAAAGAGCTTCACCCATATTTCAGGTCTGCGTAATCATCAAAGGACCCACACTGGGGAGAACCCGTATAAATGCCTGGAGTGTGGACAGAGCTTCACTCGGAGTTCAGGTCTACGTTCACACCAAAAGATACACTGGTGAGAAACCCTATGCCTGGAGTGTGAACTGAGCTTCTCTGAGAGTGGAAATTCAGATTCGCATCAAAGGACTCATACTGGAGAGAAACCCTACAAGAGCCTTGAGTGTGGACAGAGCTTCACTGTTAATTCAAGTCTACCTAAACATCGAAGGACTCACACTGGGGAGAAACCCTATACATGTCTAGAGTGTGGACAGAACTTCACAATTAAATCAAGTCTAGGTTCACATCAAAGAACTCACACTGGGGAGAAACCCTATAAGTGCCTGGAGTGTGGACAGAGCTTTACTCATAATTCAGGTCTACATTCACATCAAAAGACACACACTGGGGAGAAACCCTGAAAATGCCTGGAGTGTGGACTGAGCTTCACTTTGAGTTCCGTATATTCTGGCGTATAAAACTACTTTTTAACCCAAGAAAATCTTCTCAAAAGTTAGGGGTCGTCCAATACACAGGAGTTGTCTTATACACGGGAGTCGTCTTATATGCTGGAGTAGCCTTGTGCATGGGAGTTGTCTTCTATTCGTGGGTAGTTTTATACACCGGGAGTCATCTTATAGAGCGGATGCTGAAACTTCCAATCCGGATTGGAGAATCTGTGGTTGCTGCATATTGTGGGGAAGCTCAAAAATGGGAGTGGCTTTGTTCCCGCCGTATGCAGCGACTGTATGAAAGCATAAAGGGCGATGCTGTACAAGTATGGTAGAAGAATTTGAAGAAATCTTTAGAGCAGTGGTTCTCTACCTGTGGGTCCCCAGATGTTTTGGCCTTCAACTCCCAGAAATCCTAACAGCTGGTAAACTGGTTGGGATTTCTGGGCGTTGTAGTCCAAAACACCTGGGGACCCACAGGTTGAGAACCACTGCTTTAGAGGCTTAACTGATAAATTACAATATCAAGGAATTATGCCTCAGTAATAGTTAATTAGGGCCTAACAGAAAAAATAAGCATAACCTGAGGTACAAGACAAGGTTGTCTCATTTCCCCAATTCTGTTTGCAAGACTAATAGAAATTCTAACTAATGTATTTAGAGAGGAAGTTAGTATAAAAGGAAAAGGACGAAAAGAAAAAGATAAAATCAATTTATTTGCAGATGACACCCTTTTATCAGTGGAAAACCCAATAAAACAGTGGCCGGGGGGGGGGGGGGATGAAGACTACCTCACAGGATTTTGGAAAATAACAGGTCTACAAATCAATTGGAACAAGTCAGAAATGTTTTTATTTAACTATCAGGAAGAAGAGATAACAAATAAAGCAGGAGGGGAAAATAAAAATTAAAGTCAGTCAAATATTGGGAATAAATATATGTAAATAATTAGCTAATTTAGAGACAAAGAATCTGTTGCGCTGAGTCAATTTGTTGCGCAGTAGCAATGTCCAGCATGTCCAAAATAAACCCAATGCCAAAGACACAGACCAGTCAGAAGAAATAAAATAGTAGAACTTTACTCTTGGTTTGCAGAGTTGAAAAATAAAACAGCTTGGCACACTTACATAGTCACTGTAAGTAATACAGAATAAATCTTCTGTGTTTTAAATCATAGAGCATAACAAAATAAAACATGGTTACTTCACCATAACCTAAGCTTCTTGCTTCTTCTCTCCAGCAATTCAAACTTTTAACTGCCAGCCGTCTGCACAAGCCTCAGATTTATACATTTAAAAGGTGTGGCCTAGCTAGCATTCTGCAGCTGCAGTTAATCATTGATACTCTGCTAGGCTTTTCTGTTTAGGCTTTCTTTAACACACACACACACACTGGGCTTAAAGCAATATACCGTAATACCCCTCCTTGTGTTAAAGAAACCTTTACAAATCAAATTCAAATATTCCCAAGTTACTTAGAAACTGGCTATGTTTCTGTGCTCCCAACGGCTTGGTCAAAATGTCAGCTAGGTTCTTTGCACTTTCACAATATGTCAGTGAAATTCTTCCCTCTTTCACTGCATCCCTGACACAACTATATTTTATGTCAACATGTTTACTCCTTTGTTTAACCCTTGCTTGTGTAGCCATCAAAATACAAGTTTGATTGTCTTCGAAAATATTTGTTGGTTCTCCAACAGGAATCAATAGATCCCTCAATAGTTGTTTTAACACACATGACTCTGTGTATGCTTGAGAAAGAGCACCAAACTCGGCTTCACTCGAACTCAAAGCCACAAAACTTTGTTTCTTAGATTTCCAGTCTATGACTGCACCACTAAGCATAAACAAAATGCCAGTTGTTGACTTCCTATCTGGACTATTTCCTAAATCACTATCTACATAGCCTTCTAGAATTAGTGAATCGTCAGGATTCAAAACTAAACAAAAATTTTGGGTCTCTTTTAAATATCTCAGCAATCTCTTAAGACCATTCCATGCTGCTGTGGTTGGATTATTAGTATACCTGCTTAAGAAATTTACAGAAAAAGCAATATCAACACGGGTGTAATTACTTATATACAACAATTGTCCAATTACACTTTCGTATAAATCCCTCTGTTGAATTGGCTCAGCATTTTCAACTTCTTTCTGAAACCCTAAAATCATAGGTGATTGGGCACCTTTGCAATTTTCCATTCTCATTGTTTTTAACACATGCAATATTTTCCCTTTCTGGCTTAACATAAAACCTCCTTGCTCAGTTCTCATGATATGTAACCCCAGGAAGTAATGTATTGGCCCAAGATCTTTTATCTGGAACTGTTGCTTTAACTCCTCAGCAAAATGGTTAATCTCTTTATCACTCTCAGCAATAAAGCAAAGATCATCAACATATACTAAAAGAACTTGATAATCACAATTAACATTCCTAGTATAGACACATGGGTCTGCTCTGCTCCTAACAAAACCCATCTTCAATAAATTTTCACTAAGACAATCGTACCACGCTAGACCAGATTGCTTTAAACCATAAAGGGCCTTGTTCAGTTTGAAATATGAATTTGACTCATTGCTTTTGACTCCGGGACGCGATTTGATGTATACATCTTCCTTCAAAGTAGCATTCAAATAAGCTGTACTTACATCAAAGTGGTTGACCTTTAATTTCAAACATGCTGCTATATTTAAAGCAATCCTTAATGAATTTGGGTTAAGAGTAGGTGAGTACTCTTAACCCAAATCAATGTCCTTTCTCTGACTAAACCCACGTGCTACCAAACGTGCTTTGTGGCGCACTTGTCCCTCTCAGTTCACCTTTGTAAACCCATTTAGTTTCTATTGGCTTTATACCTTCTGGTAATTTAGCTGGTTCATAGACATTCAACCTCCTCATGCTTTCTAATTCCTCCTGCATAGCTTGCAGCCATTTTTCTTTTTCTTCATGAGGCAAACTCTCAACTTCCTCATAAGTTTGAGGTTCATCTGTTACCAAACACACTTTAACATGCTGGATTTTAAATCTTTCAGGAGCTTTTCTAATTCTTGTGGTCCTCCTGGGTCCTGTGCCTTGACTAGTGCCTTCCTCAGGATCTATCTACTCTTCCTTTACCTCAACCTCATCTGACTTAGATATTTTAAATTTCTTAGTCACTGGACTATTCTTGAGTTGAGCAGAAGCAGGAGTTATTGCAGCAGCACTTTCCTGCTCTGAGGTTTGTGTCTCCTCAAGTGTTTCCTCATTGCAAACTGGGAGAAACACCTCATGGTTAGCATATATTCTATCCCAACTTTGAGGACAGGCAAAGTTTGCAGACCTAGAAATTACTATGGACCCATCCTTGTCCAAAAATCTCCATGCCTTAGCTCCTTGAGCATATCCAACCATGACTAACTTTCTAGATTTTTCCTTACCTTTCCTTCTAATTGCTTTGGGCACTAAAACCCATGCTTGAGTCCCAAAAGCTCTTAGATGTCCCAAAGGTGACTTCTTTCCATACAAAAGAAAATATGGGGTATCTTGAATAGGTTCAGACCATATTCTGTTAAGTAATTGGCAGTCATCATTGCCTCTCCCCATAAGTTACTGGGTAACCCTGAGTCTGTCAAGAGAGAATCCTTAACTGTTTGAATCTTTCTCACAAACCTTTCTATTTTGCCATTTTCGGCACTTTGATATGGGCACGTCTGTCTGTGTTTAATCCCTTCTTTCTTCAAGAAACCCTGTAAATCGTGTGATGTGAATTCGCCTCCTCTATCAGTTTGCAAGGCTTTCACATCTACCTCAAACTGTCTCCTTATGTGAGCAACCCAGTTCTTAAAAGTTTCAAACACTTCATTTTTATGTTTTAACAAAAAACTCCACGCAAAATTGGAGTAGTCATCAAGAATACACAAACAATAAATTGCCCCTCCTTTCCTGGGATAAAAAGGTCCAATTAAATCTGCGTGCACTAACTGAAAAGGCTTTTCAGAATTCCTTAAGCTCTTTTTGCTTACAGGCGAAGATTGAGCTTTAATTCCCTTGCATACAGTGCAATCCAGGAAATGTTTACAGTCTTCCAATTTTAAACCCTCACTGTACTCCTGCATCTTGTACAGAACTTTAAAACTTGGATGACCCAAAACCCTGTGCAACTCATGAATGCACCTATGGTGTAAAGGAGTATTCTTGCTCACTATGTTGATATTATTTGCACTCCTTGGCTCTAAGGCATATATACCATCCTGTATTGTCCCTGTTCCATACAGTTTGGTTCCTTTCAGGATTTTGACCTGGCCTCCTGAAAATATAACATCAAACCCCTCACTATCAAGTTTCGCCACTGATATGAGATTATAATCAATTTGTGGAACATAAAATACATTCTCCAAGGTTATACCCAAACTATCAACAAAAACCTCTCCTTTTCCTTGAACAGAGTAATGCTTTCCATCAGCAAGTGTCACATTAAAACCATTCAGCTTAGTAAATTTTCTAAACAAAGTCTTGTTATTTACAATGTGTTGTGGACACCCTGAGTCAACATGAAAGTCATCCTTCTGTTCTGGGCTTGAATTTGTCTGTACAACCCTTACGTGCGAGGGACCACCTTTTTCTGTTGAGGCTGACTCCCCTTCTGCTT